CATTTCGCGAGCGACCATTTGTCGTGCACAAAATAGTTTTTGAAATCTCTCCGAGCTTTACGCGCTGTGATCGCATGATCGCGTTGATTAAGATATGCGTTTCGATCGAAAGAAAAAAATACCTGATATATTTTTTTTTTCCATCAAAGTCACGGGCTCTAATTCACTGTCACTCCCCTGTTATGAAACAGGCGCGATAGGATAAAATAAAATGTAGCCTGTAGTGCACGAGAGATCGATACGTGAGACACGGTTCGAAACGTGCCATCGCAGAAAGATCTTTGGTACACATCGTTAACGATAAAAACGCGATCGCGTGTTCGTCACGATCGTCGCGCGTTTGCGCGAATGTAGCCTGGATCATGGCAGACGAGCATACGGAAAATTCGCGCACGGCAGTTTTTACATATTATATTATATACATACTATACGTACAGAACTTTCAAATATAAAAACATTCGAGGGGTCAAATTTATCGCAGCCATTTAAAGCCATTCAAACGCAGCAGAATTCCGAAGTTTCCAGAATTTCGAAAGACTCCCCCGGAAACTTCGAAGTACTCGATTCAATTGCTTGCACCTTGCAAACTTATAGGTGTTTCAATATTTTATATGCAGTGAAAGATCGTCTTCTCGCAAACTCGCCGAAAGACCTAATCCGATTAAAATTCAAATTAAAGTTCTCGAATACACTTTGTGCAAAGATTAATGATATTGACAAATACACGATACGTACACAGCGAGATATATATTAAGGTACGAGATAACGTTATGGATCTTCTTTTACAAATTTGATGTGAGCCATATAATTGTAAATTAGGTAAGACGGCTGAGCAAAAAGAAATAGCGGATCTCCGCTAGATTTTCGCGTATCTCTCGCCTTTCTCTAGTGCTGCTGTCTTCCCCTTGTGCTCCCTTTTTATTCCTCTTGCGCAAACTTCAGAACATCCGAGCCTTTCATGACGAAAAAAAGAAGAAACTATCCGGAAACCACGATAAAAATAAATCGACACAAGGAAATGTATCGTGAAATCGAGTTTTGCCGTTCCTATCCTGTGGGATATTGCAGGAAAGTGTTACATCAAAACGTGCGAGTTTATTCTCTGTAAAATTTGCCTGAGATTTTTATAAGAATTTTACACAGTTTGCTATTGCAATTTGATCAAAACGCGCAAAAATCTATTGAAAAAAAAAATTAGTTACAATCTAGTAAATTATTTGCTTAAAACAGATATAAAGATAAAAATATGACTTATAAGAAAACTTGACAAGATTTACACCACTTTACACCACGTGTGATTGATCAACGATTCGCCTAAGATTTACTAAAGGAATTATCTGTAACTTTAAGTTAAAATTAACTCGCTTAAAATAAAAACGAAATTGATGAGCAAAAATTAGCCGGTTTACAATACAGCGATGATGCAGCTTTGACTGGTTTTTTTTTCAACATACTTCACGCTTTCAGCACTAGACGTTGCGCAAATTCCTCTAAAACTTCCACACTGTGAGAGCGCTGTGGGGAAAGTTTAAAATTAAAATACATGATATGATAAAAAAATGCATGTGAAATTGTCTTGGACGGAGATCCCCGCGTGATAACGAATCTCAATGAAGCTCTAATAACCGCCGTGATGCGTAATAGAATTCACAATGAATAGCGAAAAAACTGGTGCGATGCTCTCGCGCAATGGCGATCATAGCTAAAAACGTTGCGTTAAGATTAAGACTGGGAAAACTGGGCAGAAAATAGTTTACAGATGAGAACGGAACGATAATCATCTAGTGCTACAATCTGCTCTGCTGAATAGAGTTGTACAGAGCGTTCTCAGCCGCTTACATCTACAAATTTTCGTCGTAATTTCTCTTATCTCTCTTATTAAATTCTTTATTAATTCTCACGATTAAACTTCATTCGTTTCTCAAATCAAGAGATCCCTTTAAGATAAAGTACACTTCGAAAAGGATTAACGAAAATTTTCGAAAAACAATTGCCGGCTTTTCTATCTGCTCGCAATCATGAAACTTAATTAGTCGTTAAATACGTCACATAAACGTTTATGAGCGCAAGAAATGCAAAAATGCAAAAAAGGAAGTTTGTAGATTCGATAAAATTAATAATGATGAAAGACAATATTTTGTATACTGTCACGCGAAAAAGAAAAAAAAAAAAACAAATCTATAGAAATCTTTTTTTCAAATTAATATCCTATTAGGAATTTCTATTAAGAAATGATACTTTGAAACTCGATTGTAAACTTTTCTCCCGCTTTTTAACGCAATTTCGCAGTGAAAGTGGTCTCAATCAAAAGAGATTACAAATACACAAAAGGACGTTGGATCGTTAATTTCAGGGCGAGACGTACCCTACATCGTGATAACTTGTGTTCGAGAGACTCAGGGAGTGGAAAGATGTATCGATAAGTGGAATGAATGGAGTTTTGCGCGCCCGCTTCTCTTCTCCCCGTTGGAAAATGGAAAGGAGAGGCTTGCTGCTTGATATCGCTAAAACAAATGGCACGTATTTTTTTTTTTTTTTTTTAAAGAACGTGACTTGTAATAGACTTGTCGTGATACCAATGGGAGATGAGCGTTTATGCATTAAAACAGACATTTCAGAAATGTGGCAATAAAATGCGGTCACATTCCCCGTACAAATTGTGTTTTCAAGTTCGTTAACGAAATAAAGTCAAATTTGTAAACGCGTAAATTCTTGTTCAAATTCGCTTGAATATTCATTCCTGGCTCAATAAAATATTAAAATTATTCGAGGAATCAAGAGCAAAACTAAATCTAACCAAAGTTACATATATTGAAGTAAACACGGAGAATTGGGCACATCCTGTCAATAATTCTCGCGCGCTATTGTATATGCTGTGCAATAACCTTAGACACAACATAATGTGCCATCGCATAACACTGCTTTTATGCTCGCTATACTTGACTTTAAGAGCGAACAGCAGACAAAAACGGGAGAGGGGTGGTAATTCTCTCTCCAATTCGTTAAACTGTTTATACCGATAGCCGCGAGAATTATGCAGCGCCAATTTTGTTAATTGTAAGGACGAAAGGACATCGATCTGCGAAGCAGTTTCAAGAAACTCTTCCCCGGGCTATATATTCTATGTACGTAAAAAAATACGAGCCAATATTATGCTGTTTCGCGGTTAAATTTTTGAATTTTTAAAATTATTCAAATTAAAAAAAACCGAATATTTTTCTCTTAAATAAAAAAAATTCCGTTGATAAAAAAATCGAATTTTGCGTTTTGAATCCATCTATATTTTGTGTAAAGTTTTTAAATGTGTACATTATATATTTTATCATATGCTATATATTAGACGGAAATGCATTCACAGCATGGAGGCAGACAAGCGCAACGATAGCACCGTCGAAGTAAGTCTCTAGGGTAATCGACCTCGAAATCATTGCCAGAACATTCCCCGATACATTTAGATACTAACCCACGACCGCGGCGTTTATTTTTCCTGGCCCGGGGCGTATTACGTGACTTAGAATTTCGCTGATCACGTAATCGACTCTCGATGACAATCATCGATGCTATTAATCACCTCGACCTCACCTATTGCCGAATTTCTTCGATAAATAATAATAATTAAACAGGAGCTAAAAAATAGTGCGACAAAAATAACGATAAAGATTACATGTAATTCAATTAAATTTCTGTTGGAAATTCTTGATGCTAAAACTGCAAGAAACATATACCGATTTTCGCATTTTCTGGAAATAATAGTACATTTAAAAACTCGTATATTCTCTACATTCATATATTCTCTAATAACGGCAGGCGGGTATGGAAAAATTTATGGATAGCCAGCCTCATGAAAAAGTGAACAAGCTCGACTGAAATAATTTACATTGTATATGATCTATGGAAATCTTAATGCATGTATGTTAAAATAAATGTATAAGTGGTTACGTTAAATCTTTGTATAATTAGTAATTAACTTATAATATTCATAAAGTTTGTTTTATATCGAAACAAATTTATACCTTAAATTATTTATTAGCAGAATAAATATTTAGAAAGTAATGTAATATTCTTTTATGTTTTATCTTCAACAACTTCAAGTATGTTTCATAAATATAAGAAAAGATAAATGTTTTCATTTTTATTCCACATTTAACGCTAACTGTAGTCCGATTTTAATGTCATGTCGACATTTTAATAAACATAATTTTCGTTGTTATTAAATGAGACTCGGAGTCATATTTAATATTAAATCTGACAGTAAGTGGCAAGATAGATGTAAATTTTTTTAATGCAATTTGCTCAACTGAGATTTCAAAAATAGATAATAAGAGAGACGATTTCAATACAAAATTTATTTGCACGTGTTTTACTTAAAAAGCAATTTTTAACAATAAAGCTTTTCAATCAAGATAAAAACTGAAATAATTTTAATTATTACGGTTACAAAATTTTTAATTATCAGAATACAACACTAATAATTAAATTGAAGAAAGATATTATAATTTCTAACAATAAACATTACTAATGTCAAAAAGTAAAATTAATTTTTTATCAATCAATGTAACAAATAACAAATAATTACATGAGTTCACAAAAAATTATATGATTAATAAAACAAATTGTCAATCACACGAATAATAATAATAAATGTTGTTTTTAACTTTTAACTGCTCAAAAAATAACATTAACATTATCTTCTATTATTAATTCTGACATAATGAAATAGGTGCAACTGTTCGCACATAAAATTATGAAAAAAAAAAATACAGAAAATCAGTCGAGCTGAACGTATTTTCGCGGTATTTTTTCAAAACATCATCAAATACAACATTTAACGCTGCCATGACGATTAAAGCTCAGGGCAATTTCGCAAGTTTCCTGGAACTTCGTAAATCGGCCGTTCCGCCTCTCAAAGTGCATAGCGATGATAAGGAAAGAAAGCGGCGGCGGCGGCGGGGTGAAAGTCGCGCGTGGCAGCGCGATCGGCGTTCGTTGAACCCTCTTACCTTAACATCCCCTCGCGCCGGGGCGACGGCAGCACGCAGCCAGCACGTACGTCCCCGCGCCGCGTTGCATCGCCGCCCTTTCTTCTTTCCGCCTCCCCGGCGTCGCCGTAGCGATGCGACACGACCC